TTTCTACCTCTGCATAGGTGGTCTTTGCTGCTGGAGCATGGACAAATCAATTTTGGCTAATGGAAGCTGGACGATTTATATTTGGGTAATAAAACCAAAACAAACTGTCTTCTAGTTAAACCTTTTTATTTTACTAGCATGTAAAAACTTAAAAAACAAACAAAACAAACATTGGTCCTTTTCTTGTTTGAAATAGTAATAAAAAAAACATGCAGTTTCTTATGAGACTGATTGATATCAGCTTACAGAATATGAATGATATAGCCAGAAATACCATATATGGGGGATTCTTAGCAAACCCGAACACACATGAAGTCGCTAAAACAAAGTCAGTGTGGTGTTATTCAGTCACATATATTTATCCGTCAAGAGACATTAAAGTCTGATTCTAGGGCTCAGGTTTTCAGGCTTGTTGCTTACATGATCCCTTCTATGTTGTCTTTTCTTGGGTAGTATTGGAGGAGAGTCTTTGGCAGTAGCCCAAAACACATATGCAGTGAACTGGTTCAAAGGCAAGGAGCTCAATCTAGTATTTGGCCTTCAGCTGAGCATGGCTCGCGTGGTAAGAAAGCTCCAAATGAAAAAGTGCATTTATACAGGCTTTGAAATACTTGTATTTTTGTTTGTTTTGATATTTTCAATGAGGTAAGCTGACTTCTCTGCTCATCCCAAGGGCAGCACGGTGAACATGAACATAATGGGCTGGATTTATAACAGAGTTACAGATGCTGTTGGCTCGCCTGGACACACCGTGCTGGGTGCATCACTCTTGATAGGTAAATGTTTTACAGTTGCACTTCACTGAACCTGACTTGTCAGGTGAGTTTTACACTCTCAGACTCCAGTTACACCCCCTTTATTTCCTTGTTTGGTAGAAATGCTACACCCTTTCTTTTTTTACTTCTAAGTTCAAATAACACAGCTAGCACAAACCAACAGAGAGAAGTGATATAGAGAACTAAAAGTGCTGCAGACTGTTCTAGATGAATCACAAGGAACAGAAGAAGTGCCAGTTCTTGTAATGTTATCCTGTGACATGCAGACGTTTCCACTTTTGCACAACTTGCAGTTTTGTGTTGTTTCCTGCTGCTTCTAATTTCACTGAACATGTTTAGTGGCAATAAAATGATTCTGATTCTCCATTTCTTTTTCTCCCCTTAGCTGCCATAACGTGCGTGTTTTCCCTAGTCTGTGCCTTGGTTTTGGGATTCCTTGACAAAAGAGCCGAGAGGATCCTCAACAAGGAACAAGAAGGAACAGGTAATGTCTTCCCACACTTTCTCCCTCAATTTTGTGTTTTCCCTCTCATCACACATCAGTGAATGAATACTAGAAGTTCTTCCACAATCGTCACAGATTGCCCCCATGTGCAAAGTCAAATTTAGTTTTTGTTTCATTGAGCTCTAAAACCAACTATCTGGTTTGACTCTACTTTCTCTGTTTGAGAAAGTAGAGTCTTTTTGTTGTCGTTGTGTTGGTGGCAGTTATAGCCAGAGGTGATTTTGTGGTTCTAACCCTATTCACATGACAAAAATAACCTCTTGAATTTATTTACATTTAAAATGTCAAGAATATCCATTTGGACTTTAGGTTGAAATTACCAGAAGTTAGTTGTCAAAGGTCTCTCTGACCTCTCAAAACCTTTTTTTTTTAAAAAGTGTAAACCTTCTTCAACATGTTGATGCCGAACTTGCACGGATAACCACACTCTCTGTTCTCGCTCGATGGTTGCATTGTGTGGTTTCATTAGTTAACCCATTTGCTGGCTTGACAACAGTTTAATTTCTCAAAAACTTTCAGCAGAAGCAACATTAGCAAGTTGAGTTGGCATCGCATGATGTCACCCTATTAAAAGGGAAATGAGAGGTGAGAGCGCTGAAGCCTGAAATGCATCCATGTGAATCCTGCCTAACTCATGAAGTAATTATTAAAAAAAGATCACGCACATCAAATATGATAAAATAATGAACTGATGGCATTTTTGTATTCAAATGGTTTAGTCTGCAAAATCATGGATGAAAACTACTACTCGGCGGGGAAGAAAATGGTTAAATTTGGCATGCTGTAGCATTTGTCAGTAAGAAAAAAGGTTGACATGTGTTAAAGAAGCATTTATTCTTTTAGAGCTGGTCAAAGCAAATGGTGTTCTCAGACAGATTTGTTTTTTGTGTTGCATGTTAGGCGAAGTGATCAAGATCACGGATGTGAAGCATTTCCCTGCAGCCCTGTGGCTTATCTTCATCGTTTGTGTAGGCTACTACGTGGCAGTTTTCCCCTTTATTGGACTGGGACAGTGAGTACTCCATACGTCTGCACTCTTCCTCTAACACCATGTTTCCTCCAGTGGTCCTTATATTGCTTTTATAGTATATATACTGTCTGCAGAATGCTGTCTGCTCTGTGCGTCCCCTGTTTCTCATGAAATACAGGAAGCAGCACATGGATCCCAACATCCCAAGTGCATTATCTTTGTTTGTAAATGGTGTATTTTATATGTTATTCATTTAATGTTAAAAGTGACCTGATTTAGTCTTTCCTGAAGTCAACATATCCTGTGATGTGCCCATAACCATTTAGCTTTGAGTGAAGAAAGAACTCCCACTCTAAATAATGCACTGTTATGGTTAAAATGCCTGATAAGAATTAAATAAAGAACCTTTAGCAAGGTAGTTGTTCAACCTCACAATGTTGTGTTGGGATTAAACTACAAAGGGAGTCTTTGACAAATAGCTTTGAAGTGAAAGAACACAATTGCAGCCATTACAAAATGAATTTCCTTCACTGAAAGGCATTCTCAGATCACGTAGCAACTGACATGGATTTGCCACAATGGGTCATTGCTAACTGAGCAGATGGCTGCTATGAAAATTCAATCTCTCCTTTTGTTGTCATAACAGCCAAAAAGCTAAGCAGTGCTTTGTACTGTGAACGCATCATCTTGTCTTTTCATTCGCAGGGTGTTCTTCATTGAAAAATTCAGCTTCTCCCCAGCTGAAGCCAGAGCTGTCAACAGGTAACTCAGCTTAGGTGTTGCCTGTTGGGCAACTGAGACAAAGCTACCTTAAGATATTAGCACTCTTTATATTCTGCAGTTTTTGTGGCAGGTGAATTTCCTAAAATAGCGTGTTCTTCATTTAAAATAAGGATATTCATTATATAATGTTTTAACATGAATCGTTCATTGTCCATTGTCTATCTTTCCTAGTATTGTGTACATCATATCAGCCCCTGCATCTCCAGTTTTGGGCTTCATGGTTGATAAGACGGGGAGGAACGTGTATTGGGTATTGCTTGCAGTGGCAGCAACACTTGCCGCTCACATGATGCTGGCCTTCACTTTCTGGAACCCATGGATCGCAATGGTAACTTCCCTGGCAACCTTTTACACTGCACTTAAACACTTTGCACATTCATAAACAGTTATAGTACGTCTTGAAAATTGAATCTGTTCATGTGGATGCACTGAAACAGATTTTCAGTCGGAGAATTGTTTTATCTCTTATCCAGTTAACTTCTTTGGTCTCAGCCAACTGAGAAATTGTAAAGTGAGATTCTGTGCATTTGCTTGATTTCCAGTCCCTGCTTGGCGTGTCATACTCCTTATTGGCCTGTGCACTTTGGCCCATGGTGGCTTTTGTCGTGCCTGAACATCAACTCGGGACAGCCTATGGCTTGTATGTGCCTTTTTTTTTGTCATTAAGACTTAAATTATACATATTCTGCTTGTTTGGGCCACACATTATGTCAGGAGATTTTTATTATTAAGACATTTTATTAATCATTATTGCTGATATACTAAAGCTAAAAGTGTTCATATTTCTGTTTGCACTCAACCAGCTGCACAACTAACTGTCTGCACCTTGCCTTAAAAAGACTTGTTTGCTCTCACATTATCTAACTTTAACAAGAAACCGCCACCCAAGAGTAAGAAACGACCTTTTAAGAACATGACCTTTTTTGAACATAAGTTCCGAGAAGTCACACCTGCCTGTTTGACTAGAGAATGTTACTTCCTTTCTTGTATGTTTCATGCTGTGTATAAATAAAGGCAGAGAACTGCTGCAGAGGCGTGAGTCTCCCTTGAGCTCTCACCCGTGCACGTTGAACTGTTACAAGTGTCTGAGTGTTAATTCATTATACCTGATTACTTGATAAAGAATATCTCTATCATATTAACATATAAATATTGCTATATTGACACTGATGTGTGTTCTCTGTCTTTGCACATTAGTATGCAGTCCATTCAGAACCTGGGACTCGCTATCATTTCCATAGCGGCAGGGGCGATCCTCGACAGCAAAGGGTACCTGGTTCTGGAAGTGTTTTTTTGCGCTTGCATTTGCGGTCAGTACTTTTATGTCTTTTTGTTTCCTCTTTTTTTTTTTTTCCTCAAAGTCTTGTTAGACACTTGTGAGTGCCATTGTTGGTTATTTCTTTTTTGCATTGGTTTTCCTTCTACTTTCTTGTAGTTGGACTGATAGCCGCAGTGTTGCTGTACTTCGTGGATTACATTAAAGGTGAGAAAAGACTGGAGTGTTGAATTCTCCCACATTTTCACTCCTCCCTGTTTTGTGTTTCTTTATTGTCTCCGATTTTCTTCATAAGCCTTCTCATATGACATCTTTTCACTTTACTCTCACACTCTTTTCCTTACCATCAGACTCACTCACTGCTTAATCTGCCTATTTCCTTCTCTTGCTCCAGGAGGAGATTTGAACCTGTCAGCTGCAGCCAGAGCCAAACTCAGTAAAGAAGCCAGTTCAGATGCAGAGTGAGTAGCTTTGACCTTCCACACACCGTCAGTGCTTTTCCACCCACTTGCGCATCAATTAGACAAGCATCTCAGAAACATATTGAACACTTCTCTCATGCAGTCAAGTGACATAAACACATTGTAGGTAGACTTCCAATATAGACACAACTAATAGGTTTAACTACAAATAATAGTTAATAATGTATAGAGGTTATAAAACATACCAAAAGTTTTGGTCGATTAAACTTTAATTTGTTCAGAGTGGTTGTTACAGAAAACAGGGTTATGGACTTGCTAGGGGTATAATACAGTGTATCAATAATGTTATGTCTTCTTATTATCCACACTTAAAATGCAAGAAACCTGTACATAATGTATTTTGTATGTATTATATATTATACATGTATTACACATATAATAATTATGCGGACAGACAGAGACTTCGTTGTTGGTTCTGCAACAAAGAGAAATTTTAAAGGTAAAAATTGTTTATTAGGTTTTAGTTTAAAAGTTTCCAATTCTGGAATATAGGATAAAATATAGGATTTTATCTCATCAGTTGATAGGTGTTCCTTTTTTTTTCTTTACACACACACACACACACACAGGCAAACATGTTTTGAAGCGAGTCTTTAACTTCAGGAAGTCATTTTCTATATTAGCTGGCTGGGTTATGTGCTTCGGCTTTCATATTTATTTGTACTGACACGTGCATGTTAGCTGTGGTTGGTTTATTTTCCACTCGCAGCACTGAATGAAACCAATACTTCTACTTTCAGTTCACAGTTAGAATTAGAAAGAACGATGAAAGTCACACATGTTTTCTGTACTCATGTATAACCTGACTAATCTCTATTTTTATGTGT